AGATTGACGATCCAGATGGTGCCCGATTTGAAATCGGTGAAATTGGGCCTACCGGCCCCGTTTTTTTTTTTTTTCGTGGTCCACACGGTCTATGAAGGGGGCAAAAAGGGACAAAAAAAAAAAAAAAAAAAAAAACCTAACCTACAGTGATGCGCTGGGGGCGCCCGGTTGGCCACCGGGCGCGACAACCGGCCAGGCGGCCTGGCACCCCCCCGGGCGACGGCCGGGCGGCCCGGGGACCAGCCTAGAAGTATTGAAGTTTTGAATATGTTGCAGATTTTTTTTTTTTGATGATGGGTGGTATCATTGGACTTATCTTTTTGCTGGAAATTTTCTTAGTTGTAGATAATGATTACATTCCAATATTACCAACAGTGTCCAACAGAAATGAGTAGAACTGTATTTCAATATACTGTTTATGCTTCCAAAATACAAAGTTGGACGAATCTGGAAAGTGTAGGAAATCTACTTTATGAGTTTATAACTTTATAAGTTTATACTAAGTTTATAGTACTTTATAGCAGTTATACCACTTTTTTTTTTTGGTTTCTGGTTTCAAGTCAAATTTGGATGTGTTCTCTCACCTTAAAAAAAGAAAAAAAGAAAAAAAAAGGAGCTGGCGGTGACTTCCTAGGCCGCGCGTCCTCCCAGCAACCGGTACCTCCTCCCTTTCGGAGGGAAACATCATTGCAGGCTCTGATATAGTCCGTACAGGCGCTAGACTCAGGCTAGTTGGACTGGTACCGGCCTACCTCTAGCCAACCGCTACTGGGCCTCTATAAGTGCCAACTTTTTGTCTTCTTCTGCTCGGCCTCGAGTACCCGACACTTCTACCACTACTTGAGTGGTACTGGCCTACCTCCTACTTGAGTGTTTTTCCCGCTGCTCTAAGTGTTGCGGGCCTACCCCCGCTACTTGAGTGTTTTTCCCGCTGCAACCCTCAAAGTCACAGCCACGGGTAAGTACCGGCCCTGCAGGGCCTCCCAACTAACAAGTACCCTTGCAGGTCACACACACACTCAGGCGGACAAGCACTCAGACAGGCACGCAGGCCAGCAGGCACGCACACACACACACACAGACTTAGAAATCACAGCAGAATGCGGGAATCTCAGCAAGGCATACATTCCAGCGGCAAATCCCAGAAGTCAGCAGTGTTCTCAGTCTGTGTTTTGGCGGGTCATTACACTCCCATAAAAAAAAATGACCAGTATCGAAAAAAACTTTAAAAAGCCGGACTCACCACCGTCAGTTAGCCTAAATTGGGAAAGAGACTCAAAACAACGGACTTGAAGACACAGGTGAAAAGACAAACAAAAAAGAGGAGGAATACGAATCTGCAATGACAAGCATCACCCCAAATCATTAAAGGACTCACAAAAAAAAGAAGGAAAAATGGCGGAAACACATGCACAGACGAGAAGGAATATGAATCTGCAATGATGTTGAAAGGGGACATGCACTGAAACTTGGGAGAGCGAACTCGAGTTGTGAGGAATTACGGCCGCCACATTGAGAGGATTGTTAGGTATGTCAAGCCGCCGCAATGAGAGGATCGCAGAGTGCTGTAGCAGAGCACTTCAAAAGTGAGCAGGCTACACCATAGGAACTCTGGGTAGTCCTGAGTGCTGGTCACACTGAGGTAGGATAGTAGGGACAGGGGATGCGCTGGGAGTATTAACGTGGGGATGGGTAGGCTAGGTGGCCTGTCCTGTCAGGACAACCATTGGCTGCCGCTACCAGCAATCACCGTGGGTCTGGTCCTTGGCCTCTACAACCTCCTGGGCTCTGGGTAAAAGCTGGGTTAGGTGTGTTGAGCCGTCATAATGGGAGGATCGCAGTAGTGCTGCAGCAGAGCGCTTCAAAAGTGAGAATGCTACACAATAGTAACTCTGGGTAGAAGCTGGGTTAGGTATGTTGAGCCGCCATCATGGGAGGATCGCAGTAGTGCTGCAGCAGAGCGCTTCAAAAGTGAGAANATAGTAACTCTGGGTAGAAGCTGGGTTAGGTATGTTGAGCCGCCATCATGGGAGGATCGCAGTAGTGCTGCAGCAGAGCGCTTCAAAAGTGAGAAGGCTACACCATGGTAACTCTGGGTAGAAGGGCTGATTGTTGCTGAAGGCTGTGCTGGGGTGCAAGGTTGGGGATGGGTCACCACACGTGTTCATGCTGCATTATGAAAAGGTGTAATGGAGACGATGATGTGGTTCGTGCTACTCCTCTACCGTGGCGGAGGTGGGGTAAGGTGCAGTAACTAGGTGTGCATGCGAGAACACTGGCCGTTTCAATGCAGTCACGTCCAAGGACGGGCAGAGAGTGAGTTAGGGTTCCCTTTTTTTAATTCTATTAAAAGGGCGATGGCCTTCAGATATCCTCATTGAACTAACTCGCCCCGAGTAATTCAGAAATATCTTATTCTGTCATCTGATTGCATCTGATTCAAACTTGGATCTGTATTTCAACAGTTCATGGGTGTACCAAGGGTTCCTTTAAAATAAAAAATAATGAAATAAAATAAAATAAGAACAGGCCCATAAGTGTGTTATTAGGGTTGCTACCATGGTAACCGACCGAACGTCCGGACCGGGTTCCAGACAGTCCGGAACATGTCCGGGTCCGGTGTCCGGTCCATGATGTCCGGATGGAGGTCCCCAAGGGGGGGAAAAAAAAAGGGCAGCCCAGGACGTTTTTCGTCTCCTGGCCGCCCCTTGAAAAATAACGGGGTGAGTTCTCATTGTTGTTTCACCCCACCGGGCAGGGCCTAGAGGTCTGGACACAAAACACTGCAGGTTTTTGGGGTGGCAGGTTTCACATAGGCCCGAGCAATTTCAAAGCGGCCGTTTCAACGTGCCGCCCGCCGCTGCTGCCCGTTGGGGGGAGAGAGAGAGAGAGAGAGAGAGAGAGAGAGAGAGAGAGAGAGAGAGAGAGAGAGAGAGAGAGAGA